CGGTCCAGTACATGTAAATATGTATATATTTTTGCAGACTATTGATATGTATATATTTGCCACGTTTTACTTCCGCTGACGTTTTCAGACTTTCAAACTAGCGTATAAATTTTCTGATGATGATCCAAACTTTCGGGTCTAGTTTTATACAGTATCACATGCTTGTTTTATAATGATAATCCGTTTTTCATAAATGAGTTTATAGTTAACGGATTTTTAGAAAAGAAATATTTTGTGTGGCATCCCGAGATATGTTTCGCAAAATAAACGTAAACTTTAGAAAAGGATTTGCGAAAATCGCACTCTGATTTTAGTAAACTAGCGGGGTGTTACAGCTTGGTTCTCCTCAGCAGGATCAGAGAACTCCTCAGGTTCAGCATCACTTAGGTTCTTTGCGTAAGAACCTGCATCAGATTCAACATTAGTAAGATGCACAAAGGATGTAAAGCAGTTATATTCACTAAGAAGACATTTAGCAAAGTTATTGGAATAATGAGAATTTTCAGTCTTCTCAAATTCTTCATTCTCCTCATCACTGCAGTCAGACCATGTTGCCTTATATACCTTGTTCTTTCTCTTGAAGTTTGGACATTCCTTCTGAAAGTGACCGAACCCTTTGCATTACCGACAATGGTCCCTTTCAACTCCTTGGTCGATGTTCTGAACCTTGTTCTGTTGTACGCTGGAACCTCGCTCGGTATGTTGTTGAGAAGTGTTCTTACCACCTTCAGAGGGCTTGTTTCCTTGAAACCTTATCTTCTGTAATTTCTTCAGCTTTGAGGCAATTTTTAGTAAGAAATGTAAGGGCTTTCACAATCTCTTCAGCATCAAAAGATTCTTCATCTGAATCTTCCTCTTCCAACATAGGTGTATGAACCTTGGCTTTTAGAGCTAAGCCTTTTCCTTTTCCCATCTTCAACGAGTCAAATCCGTGATTTATTTCAAAGGTACGCAATTCACCGAGAAGGTCATCAATGCCCAACTTTTGAACTCTCTGAAAACTCTCCAAAGTTGTGATCTTAATTCCAAATCTATATAGTAGGGTTCTCATCAACTTTTGTACTTGTCTTGCCTCTGATACAGGTTCACCAAGCATTGCGCTTTAGTTTACGAGATCACAGAAGCGAGCATAGTACATATCAATGGTCTCATCATCCCTCATGCGAATCTCATTCAGTTTGGTAGAAACTCTTTGGACCTTTGAAGTTTTTACGGCATTTGTACCTTCAAACTGTCTTTCCAGAATCCTCCAGGCATGTTGAGCGGTTGTTCACTGAAAGATCATCTTATGGCGAGTTGGATCCAAGGCTGACATAATTGCATAGAGTGCACGAAAATTTGCTTCTTCGGCTATTCTTTCTGCATCGGTCCACATGTCCCTCTGTTTCTCGACTAAAACAGTGGTCGAGGATGAAGATTTTGAGTCTGAGGACTCATCAACCTTGGATTCCGAAGGAACGTTTTGCATGAGTAGACCATCCTGATTCGACAACTTGCCAGGTCCCTTTTTCTAGAGACCGAAGAAAAATCACCATCATGGATTTCCAGTATCCATAGTTAGAACCATCAAGGAACGGAGGGCGCGAAACAGACATCCAATCGTGACTAATTGTGACCAATACACAGTC